TTTTTTCATAAAAATCTCTTTTAATTTTAATTAGTTTGTCATTAATTATAAAATTTTTTTCAAAGTCTATAACAATAACACAAGACATAGTTGTTGAAAAGAATTTTTATAAAACTTATATTGTTAAGTTTTAAAATAAAAATATTATTTATAGAAATTAATTTTAGTTTGTAATTAATTAATAATAAAATTATTTATTCTATTATTTAAATTAATTTGTTGCAATTTAATTTTTAACTTTTTTCTATTAATAAAAATTGAACATATATTAGTCTTTTTTTATACTTTTTTAAAGTTTTGTAAACAAAGTTTATAAAATTTATTTAGACTTAATTTTAAGTCTGAATATTATGTTTTTAACTTAAAATAAATTGTTTTTTTTTTGGTTTTTTTAAATAACAAATTATAAAAGAGTTGTAATTAATAGTAATATTTTTCAAAGAATATAAAGATTTATTGATTTTTGATTTGGAAATAAAAATATATCTTTAATAATCAAATAAATTAAATATTTGATTATTGATTTTTTTGAGAGCAATATTAAACTACTTATTATCAAAATTAAAACTTAAGTTTTTTTATTCTGTTTTACTATATAAATTAATAATTAATTACTATCAGCAAGTCTGTTACTAACCTGAGGCTGGATCTTATCTTACAATAAGATTGAACTTGTCAGATCCTTGCTTAACTCTTGAATACTACAGTCTTATCTTATGGCATTCTTGATTATTTTTACCTTACCTTGATTCTAGCCCTGTTAATCCATTATATAATCAATGACTTGCAAACAAGAAAGATAAGTTTGTAATTAAATTATTGCATGAATTTACAAATTTAGTATGTCAATTAAGCAGAAACTTCTTTATTAAATAATTAACTAATTTTTTTGTTTTATTCTATAACTATTTATATAACTTATGACATGTTTCCAAATTGATTATTGCATCTTGCAAATTTATAAACTTTTTACAAACTCTAGTTCTCTACTAATACATAATTTGATACACCTGACCTTGTGCTGCACCAAACCTGGTATCCATCCCTATACCCTTGTCCCTTATTAAGTCATGCTTTCTTCTACTAATATAATTCTTATATTAACAGTATAAATAAACTTATATATAGTTTTTATATTATTTAAAACTTGTTTTACTTTTAATATATTTTATAAATTAGAAAAAAAGATTTTTCATATAAGAATTGAAAAAATAATTATATAAACTTTCTAATTTATTGTTAGATAATTATAAAACAATATTAATTAGAAAAAAAAAAACTTTTTCTTACTTTTTTTTTATATTTAAAAATTTTCTTTTTAGAAAATTTTTGAGTTGTTTCTTTTTTTTTATTTTTCTTTTCTCTATCTCTCCTTTTTATATTTTTTTATTCTCTTTTTCTTTCTTATATATTGTTGACATCTCTCTTAGCAAGTCTGTCACTTCTCCAGAGCACTTCTCGTGTAACATGATAAGTGTTTAGCTTCTCTACTTGAGGCATGTGGATTGTTTAGCCGAGTTTCACTAACTCTTTTCTTCTCTTTCCGTTGTTACTTCTCTTGATAGATCTTTACCACTTTTCCCTTCATGGTTTCAAGCATTCTATTTGCGACAAGTACTAGATTAGGTAAGTTAATTAGTTTTACTCCTTTTGGCAATGACTATCACATGTCCTAATTAAAAAGGTTTTAATTTAAGAAATAGTTCTTCTTATTTGCATGACCTCTCTCTATTTATATCATTGTTACTACTAGAAAAACAATTAAGGGAAAATAGACTATTGATAGACTATTCTTACAAGGGAAGTTATGGAAAGTCTATTCCAAACTCTAATTATTGCGTCATTACTTATGCAACCCACTAATTATTTCCAATTTTCAGGATACGTGATGCACCAGATCACATACTGTGGCCATGCTTTATGCAATTTCCTGTTAACAATTCTTCTCCACTTATCTTTGGTGTCCTTGATAAAGATTCTTACTACTTCTAGAATTCAACAGGTTATATATGATGGTGGTGTATCGGATAGTTGGATATCGTATAGTGAAGTGATGATACAGACATCCGAATTGCTATCTCCGTTATTGACTGTAATTTCCAATTCATTTTTGATTTTTTTGTTATAACTGGATTATTAGCACTTACCCTTTTGTAACCTTCTTTCCTATCATTTCTACTTGTGCACATAAACTTAAAATTATGCTTTTTTCCAGTAATGTCACAAATTCAAATAATTTTATGAAATTGCTCTAGCTGACTTCCTGATCCGATTTCTTGGCAAAATGTATAATTCTTCCATTTCTTTATAGCTGTATCAGAGTTCCAAGGTAGATATGACTGATGCATATAATTCTACTGGATTGACTTTAATTTCACTCTGATGAGTACTATAGCGTGATGATGATAAGTCTTATCCCTTTTGCATTCCTGTAACATATTGGTGATTATTCTCTTAATCCTTTGTTTACTATTTCAGTACCTTCTCCTAGCTCTAGGGTAGTACTTATTAACTGTGGATGTTATCAACTCCTCAACTTGTAGTCTGATTAGTGAAATGTATTGTGATCTCTCGTGGTCACATGCTGCAGCTTCTCTGATGTTATTCAATGTGAATTGGGCTGTTCTTACATTAGGTTTCCAAACTATCTGTTGTTTCTTAGCTGTATCATCCACATCATCCAGATTTTCAGAATTCATACCACATATAGAAGTTACTATGTCATTCAGTACGAATCGAATTAGTTATGCCTTGAACTCCAGCATTATATAAAACTTCTTCGTTGTGAACATGTTAAAATAAACTATTGTCATCTTTCTTGCATTTGTTATATTTACTGCATGTTGCTAATTCGTAAAGATACTGCAAAACTTAACTATGTCTTCATACATGTGTGTCCCTTCCATTATTATTGTTGTTGCTCTTTCACTAATAGTTTTCTGTATGCTTTTTCTGATTTGTTACACATCACGAACAATCGGAACATCATTATGATTTCGTACCACTATATCGCACTCAGTGTTTAACATGATCTGTTCGACAATATTGTTAGTTAGCAGTCTCCTCACAGGATAGTTCATCTGGATCATTTTGTTATTAATCATCATCATTGTGTGAAATACTAATCTCATGAAGATGTTGGAATGTGTTTTCAAAAGCTTTATTTTAAATTCGCAAAGAAGCACCTCTATCTATCATCGACACGTTACTGGGATGCTGTATGATCCATAGGTCTTATCTCTGGGCGCACATATTCTCCAAGTGATTACTGATGCTGTTTCGTCTCCAATTGTTGTTTTTTTGCTTTGATACATGTCCTGTTTAACTGATATATTGTTGATATTGCCCAGATATAACACTATTTTTGCAGATCCTAATCCTTGAACACTATCATGTAATATAATTGGTTCTTCGATTAAATCGTTATCGACATCTAAGACGATGGGATGAGACTTGATGCTGGAACTAGTTTCATTAGACACCTTGAAAAGGAGTGTTTCCTTCTCCTTAGTTTTGTTGACCATTTTTAGATCATTATTAGTTTTTATTGACGTTTTTTCCCAAGGAGAGGAGTATGTGATAAGGCTCAAGATCTTTGATCATTGGAGTCAGAATCTTTACATATCTCCCCTATCTTCTCATCTTTCCCTTTTTGACAGGTAGTTCGATCTTCACCTTTGTTGATTTTCTTTTTCTCTTTCTGGCCTTCGATTTGCAGGGCATTTCTTTTATCTTCATCATAGAACCTTTCCTTGCCAATCTCATCAACAGGTATTTCCATGGCCCTATTAGCATTTGAAACCTGGATCTTTACTCAGTCTTTTATATTAGGTTTTGCTTATTAACAAAAACATTTATCCTTTTTGATGAAGGCATGTCATCATTATTGCACTTAGATCCTTGGGCTTGAGAATTCATCTTGGTTCTCAGATAGCTCTTCTTCATCATTGTGGACTCCGGCATGATCTTTTCTTTTCTGTTCTCTCTTTTCCCAAATAACCAGTAGCACCTAAATTGACAGGTTTCTTCCACACTTTCACTATCACTCTTAGCATTTCTGGATCATGTCTTGAAGGTCGGGATACCTTCCTAATAGAATCATGTTTGGTTGAACAATTCTTACCACAGCGACCCTCCTTTCCACACCTGACACGCCACTCAAATTCCATATCTGATACCCTTGACTCATTTTTAGCAAAAACAGCAGATACGTTATACCTTTCTGTTAATTCTTGCACCTGGTTTTTCAATTTTTGAATGCAGTCTACTAACTCTTTTCTTTTATTTGCTTCTTTTTCAGCATTAGCTTCAGTTCTGATTGCTGCTTTAAGTGCTTTTCTCAGGCCAGTTGCATTTTTAATGGCAGATATTGATTGCAAGTCTTCTTATAATTTGAGTATGATTTCCATTCTAACATTTTCTTATGATAATCTTTCATAGGGTAGATCTTCTTGAATAGCTTCTGAAATCGTTGAATGTACTCAAGCATCTTTTCATCCTCTTTTTGCTTTATGTTCTCCAACTCCATCTGCCATTGGTGCCATTGTTCGATTATCTCAAAGTGATGGA